AGCGATGCACTTGTTACTACTAGCTTCTTGCTACTAGTAGCGATGCACTCGCTAATACAAGATGTTGACGACGATTGTTTGAAGTGTTGTCCTGTGGACGTCTTTGGACAAGCACAATATGACACAATGATACACTGGGCACAGCTCTTGTCACAATTCACTGCAGTCCTTCCAACAATGTCATCCATTGTGTAGCCACAGAGTGTTCCAAACCCTGTAGAGCATCCAATCAAAGGACACCCGGACATGCGTGGATCCTTAGTTGAAGGTGACTTTGCGTGGCTTGCGTGGAGAGATGCTGCACTGCCTTGAGTTATGACATAGCTGCTATGTTGCCATTTGTCGCCATTGGCCAAGGAGCTGCAATTGTAAATGAGAAGGTCATGCCAAGCAACGCTTCACCCGCCTCAAAAAGGAAAATCACATCGCCCCACCCTCCTAGGGTGATAGATTCTTGGCAAAACTGACCAAGAATGTTGGCACGGCTGAGTCTAGTCTAAAGGAGCCAGACTTCCAAAAAAACACGCAAAGCATCTATGTGCATGGCATGAACAAGATGACCCGGCAGTTAGTGGACATTCCCAGTATGAAATAGAGCACTCGTCGATATTGCACAACCATATTACAAATTGCGAGGTGCTTGCACGATCGTGGACACATGTCGCTCACGTTGATGATGATGATGATGATGATGATGATGATGACGAGGATGATGATGAGGAGGAGGAGGATGATACCCTAGCTATTAACAAAAATGTGAGTCTCTTCAAAAGTGGCGAGACCGTCCCCATTGGTGAGCCCCGCACTTTGTTGAAGACCGCGTCCACGGCGTCCTGGCGCAACGGATCAAACATGTGCATTCCAATCTACTTTGGAATGATGGCCTCCAACCTACAAAAAAATACAAAAAAGATATGTTCGCTTGATTTGTCATGGCGTCCTGCAGCTCATCGGCCTTTTTCTTTGTCCAAAACCCCGGCTGCTGCGCTGCACTCCCGGGGAGTGCCTCAACCGTTTGCAAAAAGAACAGTGTGAGAGAAATTGACAGGGCTTTAGGACAAAAAAATGAAAGAAAAACACTACAACTGTGTTAAAGTCAATGTCAAGATGGCACATATGTTTTGCGTGAGCATTTGTTCAGCCAATCACACCAAGGCACCTCCACAGCATTCGCCTGGTTTCATGGACAGAGCATCTAGATTGAAAAGCAAGGAATGAATCATCGTCATTTGAGGATTGTTTTTTGAACGCTCTTGGGTTGGAGGCCATCGCTATCGCTAGGTTGGAGGCCATCGCCAGGAGGTTGGAGGCCATCACTAGTAGATTGGAGGCCGTCGCTAGTAGGTTTGAGGCCATCGCCAGTAGGTTGGAGGCCATCGCTCTTAGGTTGGAGGCCATCGCTTTTGGGGTGGAGGCCATCGCTTTTGGGGTGGAGGCCATAGCTTAGGCCATCGCTAGTAGGTTGGAGGCCATAGTCATAAAGCATAGGAAAGGACTTGAGGCCAGGGGGAGGAGGTCGAAAGCTAGCCGAATCGCACCGGATGTACTAGTTACATAGTCGGCAAAGCATGTAGGGATTACATGTTTTGGGAGGAAGGTTGCTATGTACATACTTTGCGCTAAAGAATGTAAATGTTGCATCGCTGACTGGGAAGGGTACATTGGAACAACCCGGGTGCACTCGTTGGCAGGCACGAAGATGCGTGATCGGCAAATCTGGGGGGTAAATTTACCCTCCGCGTTTGTATGCCTTGAGTCGGAAAGAGGGGTAAGCATTTCTGACATCATACGGACTGTACATACACTAGGGCGTCCGTAGTGTAGGAGAAGCACTGGCATCACAAGGACTGTGCATACACTAGGGCGTCCGTAGTGTAGGATAAGCACTGGTAAAAGGTATAAGGAGTAGAGTGTCTTGAGGAAATAGCCGGCTTATGGTTATGGCAAATCTGGGGGGTAAATTTACCCCCCGCTTATGTATGCCTTGAGCCGGAACGAGGGGTAAGCATCACAAGGACTGTGCATACACTAGGGCGTCCGTAGTGTAGGATAAGCACTGGTAAAAGGTATCAAGAATAGAGAGTGTTGAGGAAATAGCCGGTGTATGGTTATAGCACGCCTGGGGGGGGGTAAATTTTCCACCCGCTTATGCATGCATTAGGTTAGAAATAGGGGTAAACAACTTGTAACGGTGAAGTACAAGTCCTATGCAGCAAGCAGCAGCCAGCAGCAGCAGCAGCAGCCGCCTGCAGCCAGCAGCCAGCAGCAACCGCCAACCAGCAGCCAGCCAGCAGCACCACGCAGCAGCAGCGCAGCATCAAGCCGCAGCAGCAGCAGCACCACCGGCAGCAAGCAGCAAGCAGCAGCAGCGGCAGCAGCAAGCAGCAAGCAGCAAGCAGCAGCAGCAGCAGCGGCGTCGTCAGCAACAGCAGCAGCAGCACCAAGCCGCAACAAGTAGCAAAGCAGCAGCTACAAAAGCGGCAACCAGCGGCAGCAGCAAACAGCAGCAGCAAGCAGCAGAGCGGCAGCAGCAGCACCGTTTACACCAAGCCACCGTTTACACCCAACCAACCACGTTCACACGTTCAACCAACCCCCTACACGGCGCGCAGCTGGGAGTCGAACCGGGGGGGGTGGTTAGCGTGATATATCACGCTAAGGGGGGGGGGCCTGGCCCCCCCCTTAGTGTGATATATCAAGCTTTAAGGCACACAGCTCATCCCACTACCAATTGCTAAAGCAAAGAAGAACTCAGCTAGCATGCTAGCTTTCGTGAAAAGGGAAGAAAGAAAAGAAAACAAACTATATATAGAAGCAACACCCAAGAGGCAACGTCTCGTTTTTGAGAAGGGGGGTAGTTTTACATCCCTGAGGACCCAAGACAATGGTAAAAGGTTGAAACATGGTAAAAGGTTGTTCCTAGTAGCGTCTTTGCTCCGTTCGTAGCGATGCCCTTGTTCCGTCCGTAGCGTCCCAAGTCCGCCTGCTTGCCATGATTGCATCCCATATTTTGGGAGCGGAGCGGGACTTACCCTCCCAAGTGACGACTGATCAACGGAAAAAAAGTCCTGTGCTGCCTTGAGTCACAAAACTGCGCAAAACTCTGTGCGGTCACCCAATCTGCAAAACCGGTGGTCGAAGTGCTTTGCACACGTTGTTGCACCAATTTTCAATCAGAGCGTCGATGATCCTTGGCATTTACCCCAATACATCCCAAAACAAATGTGAACAATTGAGTGAGCACATGAACTCCATTGGAACCTGATGGTTCTTCTTGTTTCCGTTTTCTGTCTGTTTTTCTTTGTTTTTAGCCCGCTCTTCCTGAATTGAGTAGGCGCCTACTTTATTAAGGGAGGGAGGGAGAAGTAAGCTACTACAAGAAGTTCGCTCCTAGCTAGGACAGCTCCCGCTAATGATGTAGTTCCTAGATTTTTTTTGGAAGCTTAGGTTGGAGGCCGTTACTAGGTTAGAGGCCATCGATCTTAGTATCTAATTATAGGAATTGTATCTTCTTGCATGTCCTTTGTTCCTAGTAGCTTCTTGCTCGTAGTCGTAGTATGGCCAGGAGCCCCTAGTAGCGTCCTTGCTCCTAGTAGCGATGCCAGGAGCCCCTAGTAGCGCAGGAATTGTATCTTGCATTTTCTTGTTGAACTCACCATCAGAACGGTTCAGCTCAGCAGCTTAGCACTGTCCTTTTCTCGCGATCCCAACGTGGCACATCGCGCTTCGATCGGCGCATTGCACGAGTTGAGCCACACCGTGGCCGGAAAGGCCAGGTCGAACAGTCTGGGACTACATCAAACATCATCAAACCTTGTAGCGATGCTCTTTGTTACTAGTATCAAACGTCATCAAACCCTTTACATCAAAGAACATGTTTTGCACTGCTTACACGATGGGTGCACGATGGCTTGTCCATGTTCCATTTAGAAAGACCTGATGGCCTTAGCATTCCGAACAGCCGAACGGTGGTGCCGTGGCTTCCGCTGGGAAGACCGGAGAGGAGCGGAGCATAGCTGAGCTGTGTAGCCTGCTTTTGTGGAAGAGCGATGGCCTCATGGCCTCCTGGCCTTACTACTAGGAGCAAGGGCGCTACTAGGTATATTAGATGTGTTTTTTCTGTTATTGTTCGTTGTTTCCAACAGCCATGGCCTCCAATCTACTAGCGATGGCCTCCAACCAAATAGCGATGAAATGTGCCATATCCGAAAATGAACAGCAGAGATTCCCAGGTCAACCTACTAGGGCTTGGAGCTCCAGGTTTTGACCACTGCCATATCGTACACAGATGTGGCTTGGAATCGACATGTTTTACTTTGTTTCACAAACAGCCTTCATGCGAGGCTTGGATCTCTGATCATGTGCTGCGAGAGACATGTCAACTGGACCAAAGGAGACGTGTCACCCTCGACTGGAGCTTCTACGAGTATTGGTCAGGGTTACTTGGGAACAAAACATGGCTTTTCAACATCGAATCAAAAGTTGTTGCTTCAGAAGTTGCCACATAAAACATCCCTAAGGCCCCTAAGGAACATATGTCATCATATGTCCAATCCATTTTGGCCCTCAGGGCTTTGTGACGTATCTGCTTCCTTCTGGCCCTCGTCCACTCCGGTGTCGTGGTGAAAACGTAGACTGTTTTGGCCACACTTGGCGTGTCGAGTCAACTCGACCCGTCAGAAATCGGCCGACAGTCCAAAAAGGTGAGACGAAGAAACGACAAATCTCTTTCAGAGAAGAACATTTTCAGAACTTGCCTAAGAGCGATGGCCTCCAACCTAGTGGCCTCCAACCTAGAAATTCATGTTCAGAACTTGCCTAAGGTTTCGGCTTCAAACATGGAAAGACGTTCGTTCTACTCGCAACAACGATGCAAAGACAGGCTTAGCTCGCAACAATGATGCAAAGCCCAGGTACGTGCAAAGTCCTGGCAGCAACAGCGAACAAAGGAATCCACCAATCCACCAAAAGAAGTTTCTTGTATGTAGGAGGCAACAAGTACATCTGAGGCACTGGCATTTAAACTATGACGTTTCCATTTTCCAGAAAGACCTTGGTCACAAATCTCGCACAAATGGTTTGCTTATCATGCTTAGCTCAATTAAAATGGAGTCTGTTCTCACACAGATATTGATCCTGATGATCTTGATTCAGATGTTTCTCTCTTGGACCTTCAAAAGATTTAGTCACACAAAAAACAATTCAGTCACGGAAAACCAATTCTCGCTCCCTGTACTATTTGTCTCGTCTAGCTATTTTCGGCACATAGATTTGCCGTGGCAGGCGTCAAGACCTGGTACACTAAAGAAATACTCTGCGTGACTCCATGGCGCACCGCGATGGCATTCCATGATGAAACCTTCATGACATTAAACAACCTGTCTCCAGCAGCACTGTGAGTGGCATAACAACCAAAACAAAGGAACGGCCAAGGGGGCCAAGGCCACCCACCTTCGGACGGCGCTCTGTCATTTCGCCAAGGCCCTTGTTCCTAGTAGCGATGCCAGGAGCCCCTAATAGCTTCTTGTTCCTAGTAGCTACTTGCTCCTAGTAGTACCGCCAGGAGCCCCTAGTAGCGTCCTTGCTCCTAGTAGCGATGCCCTTGTTCCTAGTAGCGTCCTCTTGTTACTAGTAAGGCCAGGAGTGCCCCGAGTAGCGTCCTTGCTCCGTTCGTAGCGATGCCCTTTGTTCCGTTCGTAGCTTCTTGTTACTAGGCCTTCTGTGCGACTCCCGGGCACCCGACAATCCGATGTATATTAGCCACAAGGAGATCATGATCCCAGCGGAGACCTTAGTCTCCCATTATCCAGTTGGCATACGAAACAAATCCGACAAAGACGGTTTCCTTCTTGAGGGCCTTCTTGCATCCCGACAAAATACGCGAAGCCTACGGTCTCTTCGTTGCATGTGTCTCTTCCTTTGTGCAATCTTGCAAAGAACAACATGTTAGCTATGTCGTTCAACCTCCTTCCCCGCAAAAATGGTCCTGGGAATATTTCTCTGTGCTTCCTTTCTCTATCATCATCGTGCAGCATCTCTGTCCCAGGCAAGTTTGGCAGGAAGAGGCCTCGGATGCGGAATTTGCAAAAAGGATCAAAGTGGTGCATCAATGCAAGAAATTAATATAAAGCCGAGATGGATATCAAGACCTTTCTTCCAACCTATATAGTAGCGATGGCCTCCACCCTAGTAGCAATGGCCTCCACCCTAGTAGCGATGTTCTCCAACCTACTAGCAATGGCCTGCAACCTAATAGCAAACAATATAAATGATGTCTTTCAAAATTCACGATATACATGTAGAAAAAAGGTCCTTCACAAAGACCAGGTGCGGCTCCACGTGGGACAATTTAAGGCTCTACTGAGTCCAAGGCCCCCCGAGTTCTCCTCCAAAAAGGCGTCGCCGGGCCTTGTTGATCATATATTGTTATTTTATGTTATTTGCATTTTTTTGTAATACACAATATAAAGTTTCCAGGAACCAAATCATAAGTGCGAGCGCTTCTTCAAGGAAGCTCCCCCGCCTGAGGGCAGGGGGAGCTTCCTTGAAGAAGCGTGAACTATCCTTCGTCCAGTTACTAGTAGCTTAAGTAGCTAGAAGCTTACTGCCTCTTAATTGAGTAGTCACCTACTTAATGAAGTAGTCACCTGCGGGCTTTAAAACAAAAAGAACAAGCGAAAGACAAGGCGTCCCCGAGAGGCGAAAGTACAGATCTCCCCTCTGAGCTGCTGACAGCCAAGGTGGCCACGCAAACCACCGCACAGATCTCAGATGAAACCGAACTGAGAAGGGGCTCACCGAGTGAAAGAAACCGTGGTTTTCAAGCTGCTTTCCCCTTCCAAAGCGGAAAGAAAGGCCCAATGAGTGAGTTTCCTGTCGGAAAAAGGAAACCCTTTCACTAGGGGCACCCTTAAGAAACCAAGTAACGTGGTAAGTACAACTCCTTTAAAACACAAGCGCCAGGTGTTAGAAACTCACTCCAGCTGGGATGGAGTGAAAAGCGCCAGGTGTCCCACAGAAAAGACGGTGACGCTGAAGGCCAAGTCGCCAGCCTCGGAACATTAGGGGGCCCCAGATCGGAAAATGAAGAGATCTTCGTTGTTTTGTTGTGTTGTTCTTTTGTTTTTTGTCTTATTCTATCTTCTTTAGATCTTTATACGTAGGTCACTCGATGTCACTTGATATCACTGGTACTTGAGATTCTTGATCGCTAGATCTCACCTAGTTGCACGTTGCACTCCAAGTGGCCTTTACGATGAAGGCTCCACCCCGGAAGAACTCGGGAATCTGGCCACGTCCCGCCACGGATTGATCCGTTTCGGAGCCGGTCAAAAGTCTCTCGGTTCGGGGGGAACTTCGACTTCGGCCTCGTCGTCATCTCCAAACCTCCGCCTGTACCACAAAATCGTCACATGAAAATTGACATCCTTAACATGGACAAGTTGCAAAGAGAAAAGCTTTGAAAATGACCTGGTTGCCTATCGGCGGGGCATCGGGCCTCCACTCATCATTGGCGCCACTGGCCCAGAAGATCGCTCCAATCGTCCAAGGCCTTTTGTCACGTCTGTGAGCATGACAAGATCGGAGAGCAAAGGGATACGGGTATGGGTAAATAAGAAAGAGAGAATGAAGGAGAAAGGGTAGGCAAATAGTTGTTCAATGCGTTCAATGCAATGTTGTTTAGTTCAAGTTAATGCAGTTACTGCGAAGAAGGACAACCCCCAAAAAAACGAAATTGCTAAGCTTGCTGGGCTCCCAGCATGCCAAGTCCTAGGAAGACGTTCACTGAGTTGCTGCCAGTCACGTTGCCCACAGATGCATCGGCCTTAAAGAACTTCCCAAACGGATGGATGAACTATTTGGATCAGTGGGAGCAAGAGGACGCTACTAGGAACAAAGGGCATCGCTACTAGGAGCAAGGACGCTACTAGTAGCTCCTGGCCATACTACTAGGAGCAAGAAGCTTGGTTTGGACTTTGATTTACAAATCCAGTCATCGTGCGTTATCGAACACCCTCTGAAAGAATGAATCTCTTTGCTGAGGAAGGCCAAAATAGAGAAAGGACCTACTAGCGATGGCCTCCAACAACCTCGAATGTGAACACACCGATCTCAAGAGCCAAGCATGTGGATCTTGCACTGCGGCAGTCTTGGATGCGAAGGTGTCCGGCAGGGACGTGCCTCGCTTTCAATTAGCTATCCAGTAGATTGGAGGCCATCGCTTCTAAGTTGGAGGCCATCACTAGTAGGTTACTCTGATGCATTTTGCAGTTGGTGTTCTTCAAGGCAGGATGGTTCAACACCGCACCATCTATATATATATATATATGGTACCCCAAAAAAGAACTATGTTCACCTCACTGTTGCTGGTATTTGCAATATTTAGTGTCTATTTTTGGAGGCCTTTTGGACCTTGGTTTTTTGGGGTACCATATATATATATATTGTGCAGGTAGGTTACATAACTTGTTTGTCCAGAGATTTTAAGTTCCGGCATGTTAAATAACTTTGGAAGGAATGCATTCAGAATGCATTCAATGCATTCAGAATGCATTCTTGTTCAAAACCAAGATCCAAGATCCAAGATTCCCACAAGACTCCTGGCTAAAATCTTGGATTGATACAGTGATAAGGATGTTCTGGCAAATCCCAAATCCAAGATTTTCCACAAGGCTTCTGTGCAAATCTTGGATCTTGGATCTTGGTTTTGGGAAGGAATGCATTCTCTGGCATTCTCTGGTAGTGACAAAATTGCACTAAGTACATTTTGATCCTGGAATATTGCTGATTACCTGTTCCTCATTCAATTCTAATTAACAACTAACTCAGCTCTAATTTACTTCCATTAATTTTAGTGCACATACAGTTTAACTAAATTCTAAGTCGATTCTTATTCCAAGTTAAAATCACTTGTATGTCTATTTAAGTTTCTAAGTTGAGTCTAATTGAAGTCTAATTGAACTTTAAATGGATTCTAATTTGAGTATGTGACATAGTTCTACTTTAAGCCTAAGTTGAGCTTAATTGAATTATAATTTAAGTCTATTTAGCTTAACTTCATTGTATAGACAAATTCTAATTAAGTGGTTATTCTAATTTACTCATTTCTATGTTAATTCTAATTATGTTTGGCTATTTTAGATCTAATGGAATTCAAACTTGAATAATTGAATCTGCAACGTGCTTCTGTTTAAATAGAAAATGATCCTAATTGAACTTTATATAATTGAAATCAAATTGAGATTGCAAATTAGATCTAGTTCAATTCTAATTGAACTTAGATTCCAACTAATTTAATTCTAGGTCAATACTGTTCTACTAACCAAGCTCTAGGTAAAACAACTCTAATTCAATTCTACCTTAGTTCTAAGTCAATTTCAACTTAAGTAATGGATTCGTATCAATGTGTTTCATTCAACTCTAATTTAATTCCAGTCTACTTCTAATTTAGTTCTATTTCATTCTATTTTGGGTTCAATTGTAACTTTGACTCTTCCAATTTACTGTTAATTAATTTCTAATGTTAATGCCCTTTTACAGTTCAGATTCAATTGTTTTACACATCTATATAATTTTACACTATTGTCATTGCAAATTAGGTTTGGTTTCTATTTCTGTATGTCTAATTTCATCCTATGAATTCTAATTCAGTTTTGGTGTCATTCTAGAGAGTGGGTGTTGCTGGTGGTGAATTTAATTCATTTAAGAAAGCAAATGCTTCTATATTGGAAAAACTACATAAAATCTCTCATGTTCAAAGTAACACCACTTCTCTAGAAGTAAATGAGAATTTCACTCAAATTAAAACTAAATTGAACACGAATACACTATTAGAATTGAATCTGACTTGTATAGCAATGAAGTTAAAATTAGCTTGAAATCAAAGTAAACTTAGGCTTGCATTGAATCCCAAGTAAATTAGAATCTATAGTGATAGACATGTGAATCAAAATAGAATTTACAAATAATTGAAATAGACTCAAATTTGAATTTGAATATACAAAGTAGAGTAGAGTTGAATAGATTGGAATTTATATTTACTTAGACTTAAACTGGAATTCAATTGTTTAGGGTTTGCAATTCTTTGCCTTCTGATTATGATGTACTTGCTCAACTGCATTCAATAAGAGCAGTACAATTCACACCCTAAAACAAGACATATGGTTTTGCATGGGGGGTTGCAATGAATTAGATTACTCCATCCAAGAACTGCTTAGTAAACACATAACCTTATGGATTTGGACATGTTTGTAGTACATAGTTAAATGAACAAATATGCTTACCAACTGCACACCAGCACTCAGAAACATAGGTTTTTTGGGGGGGCTAGCATATATATATATATATATACATATATACACACCTTCAAGTTCAACCTCGTGGTTGATTCCTGCAAAACCCTCATCAACCATTGACCTCAATAGTAGAATCATTCCGGCGGCTTTGATTGAAAAGGGCTCAAATTTCATGCATCTTGTACGGATCGTCTCGACATTCAATTTGCTCCTTGATGACTTGAGAGTGTTGAAGTTTCCCAGATAGTAATCAGAGTGAGAATCAGCCTTGCAATACAGGCCAAACAAGAAATGCCAAATCAAGAATGACCGATCGAGAAATGCGTTGTCTTTCTCCACACCAGCCTAATGCCACAAATGTAATGGCCGTGCCCATGGCCTGCAGTCGACACACCGTTCTTAGTTCCATCAAAGAAAATATCCTTTCTCAACGTTCTCTCCAAATCGTTCTCCAAGAAAACCCAAAAGGCTTTCTGTTTGTAGCAGGCCAACCTTTCCAAACTCAAGAGCGATCCACAGACTCACAGAAAAATAGAGAAAGGACCTACTAGCGATGGCCTCCAACATCACGCGTCCAAAAGGCAAACGACTGAAACGGCCTTTACACCTATGAGGCAGCCGAAGATTGCGGCCACATCCCCGATCACCGCCGTGACCAGGCCTCGAGTTTCTTTTGGTGCAGACCGCCCAAAGAAGGGAAGGATACAAGGAAGAACAAGAGAACGCACATGAGTAGTAACAATGTTCGCTACTAGGAACAAGTGCATCGCTAGTAGAAACAAGTGCCTTACTAGTAGTAACAAGAAGCTATTAGTAACAAGTGCATCGCTA